GCTCGGGGGGCTGGGCGAGACCGGCAGGCCAGTGTAGCGTGTAGGGCCGGGTGTGCCTGCAGGTGGAAGACGTGGAGGCAGTAGGGGAGGGAGGCAGGGGATGCTGCCTGCACCCAGGGCGATGCAGAGCTGAGAGAGGCCCAGCCCCATCCACGGGGTGTGAGGGGCTGCAGACGGGCCAGTCTTGGTGCTGTGCACATAGGTATGTGTGTGCACGGGGACGTGACGGGGCATGGCACCAGCGCGTGTGCAGGAACCGGGCAGGTATGTGGGTGTGGGCTGGCGCAGGGGCCAGGGCGTCCTGTCCCCTCTCCGTGTGTCTGGTCCTGTACTGGATGGGGAGTGAGGGGACGGAGTCCCCCAGGCCCTCGCCAGGCCTGTCTCCACACAAGCTCCTGCAGACAGAGCAGGTCTGGGGTTCCTAGGCTCCGGATGCTCTCTGCGGGCGGCGTGAGCCAGTGTGGGGTCTTGGCCTCTGAGGGGCACTGAAGCATGGGGAGGTCCGCCCCTGCCCCAGCTCTGGGAGCGGGTGGGCAGCCAGAGAGGAGGTGCTGGGCGCTGGAGGCCAGCGGGTGGGCCTCGGGAAGGCACGCTCTCCAGAGTTCACCTGGGCGGGGGGCCACTGTGTTCGGCCATTCCTAGCAGATGGATGGGCGGCATGGGGGTGGAGGTTTTGAAAGTAACCCCAAAAGGAGAGCTGTTTTCCTGCCACGTCCCTCAGGGCATTTCCTCCCCGAGTCTAGCTCCAATCCTTCCTGCCGCACTGTGAGCTTCCTCCTGACCACGGGGCCCGAGCCGCCCCGGGCCCTCTCCTGCTCTCATTCTGCTGTCGGGCTTCTCCTCCTTCCCCACGAGCTGCTCTGCCAGTTCCGTCCGACGCTGTCTCCTTTCTCCCCTCCGCAGTCCATCCCGGGCCCTGGCCAGCCTGGACTCTGTGACGTGCCTCCCACTGGTCCCCTCTGGCTTCCCCTCGTCCGTTCCTGTCCTTTCCCCAGCCGTTGAGCACGCCTTGTCCTGACATAGCTGCCTTCGGTCTGGGACCAGTGAGGCCTGGTCCTGACACCCTGCCGGGAGCCCTGTGCCTGGGGCTTGCCCTGAGCCCAGCTGCTCCATGGCTTGGCCAGCGAAGGGGGTCATTTCTCCTTGTCTTCTTTTTCTTCATTGGCCATAGGGTACAGGCGCCTGCCAGAGACAGAGACAGGAGAAGTGAAAAGTCACCCCCACCCCGGGGTGGCCACACCACTCCTTTCTCCTCTCAGGATCTGGGCATGCACGCAACACATGCCTGGTGTGATTTTCAAGCCACTGGATCTGGGACTCGAACTGTGGTCAGACACGTGGGAGTCCAGAGCCTTAACCGCCGCCACCACCTGCTGGCCTCTCTCCTTGTCTTTAAGGATCACATTTTTACCCTCCTGCATTCTCGGTACCCCTGAGACAGGGGTCATTCATTCTCTCTTCCAGGGAGACTTAATGCGCACAGAGGAGCTGTGACCTGCCTAAGGTCACACAGCAACTTAGAGACCCAGCCCTACCACTCCTCCTGTGGTAAGTCAGCGCCACTGGTCGGAATGGTTTTACCACTCGGGCCCGGGTGCTGCCCTGGCTCTCCGGCCTGCCCTCCTTCCCTCATAAAATGGAGCTGTTGGTGGCATGTACTTCAGAGGTGGCTGTGAGGGGGAGCTGTAACGAGGTCTCTGAAGATTTGTGAGTCTGCTCTGCCGACGGGAGGGTTCACTCCTGCTGCGTTACTGCGGCCTTGGAAGCTCTGGGCTCCATCCGCGTCTGCGGGTTCACACGCTCACTCGTTTGTGGGCAGTGATTCAGGGGCTATTCCCTAGGGCACATCGTCTTTTTTTTTAAGAACTATTTATTTAATGAGATCCATTATTATTATTAAATCTGTACATGTGCAGTCACGAGAGAGAGTGGGAGAGAGACAAAGCAAGCTGCTAGGTCTAAGACTTGAACCATAGTTGTCCACATGGGTGTCCAGCACTCTAACCACCATGCCACGTGCCGGCCCCGGCACTCCCAGTCTTAATTCTGCAACAGCTTCCACGACTGGGCTCAGGTATCAGCGGCTCCTCCCCCAGGGCCACGCTCCCCTGTTCCTTCCGCGAGTCTCTGGTCCTCAGAGCCCCCCGTCCGGCTCGCTCTGCTCTGCTGGGCTCTCTGTCCCTACCTTCTCGCGCCTCTTCCCTTACCCCAGAGGCCCAAGGCTTTGGGGTTTTGCTGGGCGCCTCTCTCGTCACCTCTCCTCCTGGGCTTGGCTTGCAAGGGCAGCCTGGGCCAGGCCCTGATAGCAGAATTTCACCCTGACATGCTTTCCCATTCCTGGGATACCTCGTACTCTCCAAGTCACCTTCAAAAATTTCCATAACCTCAGACGGCGCCGGCCTCCGCCTTTCTAGCTGACTCGGGTTTGGGCAGTTGCCTGGGTTAAAAGGGCCGACAAATAAACAGACTTCTCCTTCATCAAAAGAATCCCTGTGTTTCTCCAGCACCCCGGGGGAGCGTGGGGCCCTTGGTCGGCCTGGTCGCTTTGACTCCCGGTGCCCCTGGGCGGTGGGAAGGGTGCTCCTCCCGCAGGCTGGGTGCCCCTCCTGCCCTGGACGCGAAGGCAGTGGTGGCCTCGGGGTGACTGTTTGGATACGCGGGGGAGGAGGAGGCAAACATGGCCAAACAACATGGCAGTGCTGCAATCCCCCTGCTGGCTGGCAGGCGGGCGAGGGGCCGAAGGGCCCAGAGCGGCTCACATCATCTTTCTGGAAGTCTAGGGAGCTCTGGGAGCAGGGGGGCAGTGAGCTGCCACAGTGGCTGCCACTGTCGGGCTCCCCTCTTGAGGAGCCCTGTCAGCTGGTCATTGTGGGGTCATCTGGAGATGGCCTCCTACGCTGGGACTCCCAGCTTTCCTTGGGGCAGAGAACCCGAGAGCCCAAGAGCCTCTGTCCTCTCCAAGGCCTGCGCACGGCCCTGGCTCCGTCCCAGGGCTCCTGTGGCCTCAGTCGGAGGCCCCACCTTCCCCTTCCCCCTATCAGATGCCCGGAGTGAGCCGGCTCCCATGTTTACCCTGAGCGGGTCAATCCCCTGGCACGGGGGCGAGCACACCGCTGGCCAGGGACGGGTGTGCAGGCCGCCAGCCACAGCCGCCCTTTGACCCTGTCAGCCCGCAGCCTTTGATCCCTCTGGCCCAGGGGCTCATGTGGCCCCCTGGACACCGAGGACCTGGCTGGGGCAGTGGCTGTAAAGGCCGAAAGAGACTTGAAATAAAAGGCCCACGCCGGGATTCCAGTCCCGGTCCTGCCCCCGAATCATCTCGGCCATGCCACGCCATCAGCACACGAAGCTTCGTCCTCATTCGGCCAGGGAAAAACGGCACTGAGAGTTTGGGGGCAGAAGACCAGGCTTGGGGGTCCCAGCAGGTGGCGTGGTGCTCAAGGCGCTGGTCTCTTACATGGCTGACCGCAGCTCAGAGTCTTGAACCTAGAGGCTTGAAGATCACGCCAGGAGCGTGTGTGTGCATGCCCAAAATTTCGAAAGGAGAAGAGAGAGGAGTGCAGTGTGGCCCTGGGGGGATTTCTCACTTTCCCTTTCTCTGTCTCTCTGCCTCTCGGTCTCTCTCTGGTAAGCACAGATGGCCTGTGGCAAAACCTAACAACAACAACAACAAAAGCCTAGGGTGGGGAAGCGGGGTGGAGGGGCAGGCACGAGGGGTGGCAGCACTTTCCTCTCCTCCCACAGGCGTCCCCTCTCTCGCCCCCGCCCCGCCCGTGGGCCCCCACCCGCTACCTGGCTATGGACGGAAAGGTGGAAGTCCATGAGGACGTGCCTCCGCTGGTCTCCTGGGTCCCTGAGCAGGGAGAGAAGTCGGACCTGGAAGGCGAGGACCAGGTGAAGGAGCGGGGCCAATGGACCAGCAAGATGGAGTTTGTGCTGTCAGTGGCCGGGGAGATCATTGGGCTGGGCAATGTCTGGAGGTTCCCTTATCTCTGCTACAAAAACGGGGGAGGTGAGTGCACCGAGGTCGACGTGGCGGGGCAGCGTGGCGAGATGACAGGAGGGCCGTGGAGGGGCCGGAGCTCCGCCTCTGAGAAGTGGGGTGACTCCTGCAGGGCTGTGAATATGGTAGGAAGCGACAGTCGGGACCTGGGAGTCCGAGTTTCCTAAGCCCCTCTCTGTGCGCTTCAGTGTGGCGCGGCCGTGAGCCAGGCTGTGTTGCAGGCACAGGACGCATGCTGTGAGCTCTGTCGGGCGGGCGGCAGACCACAGCCGAGCAGATGCGAGGGAAGGGGGGCTGGACAGGTGTGGCTGAGAAGGTGACCTCTGAGCGAAGCCTTGAGGGAGGCGCAGGTCTTGTGCAGGCCAGCGGGCAGGGACGCTCCTAGCAGAGACAGCGAGCACAGGTCCTGGGTGAAAGTTCAGCTGACCTGTTTGAGGAACAGTGAGGAAGGCGGTGTGGCTGGTGAGGAATGGGACGGGGAAGAGGGGGTGGGGGTCAGAGAGGTTATGGGGTCAGATGCCAAGGCTTGGCTCTGCAAATGGGAGCCCCTGAAGGATTGTGATCAGAGAAATGAGATCCTGTCTAGGATTTTTTCAAATTAAAGAGACATAATTTTGGGACCAGTGGATGGTGTAATGGTTAAGTCTCTGGGCTTCCACATAGTTGACTGCGGTTCGAGTCCTGGTCCTTGTGGCTTTACTCTCACATGTGCCCGAAATCCCGAGAGGAGAATGGAGAAGGGATTGTGGCATGGCCATCCCCCAGGGGGGTGATTTCTCGCTTTCTGTCTCTCTGTCTCTGTCTCTCCAGTGAGTGCATGGGCCCTATAGCAAAAATCTCTCTAAAAAAAGAAACCTAATTTTTTAGCATGTCTTAGCACTGGTCGTAAAAATGAGTAGGGTCATAGTGGGGGACACATGGGTTATTTATTTATTTCAAAAGATGGTTATCCTACGAGAGCAAGAGTACAAGCCAGAGAGAGAGGGAGAAAGACCCCCAAGTGGGGTGCAGTCATGCTGCAATCCCTTCTCCACATCCTGGGCACCAATGCACACACACACACGCAAGCCTGGTGTGTTTTCTTTTTCTTTTTCTTTCTTTCTTTTTTTTTTTTTTTTTTTTGAGAGGTTTTTGCTATAGGGCACGTGCGCTCGCCAGACAGACAGAGAGAGACAGAGAGACAGAAAGCGAGAAATCACCCCCCAGGGGAGATGGTCATGCCGCAATCCCTTCTCCTCCATTCTCCTCTCGGGATCTTGGACACGCACGCACACGCTCCCGGCGTGAGTTTTAAGCCACCAGGTCCGGGATGCGAACCGCGGTCAACTACATGGGAGTCTAGCGACATAGCCATTACACTAACTGCTGGTTCCTAGTCTGGTGTGTTTTCAAGGTGCAGGGGCTGGGATTCGAACTGCCACCTCAGATCCACCTCCTTTAATCACCAGGCCATGAGGCCAGCCCTCAGTTTTGCCTTTTTTGTTTGTTTTCACTTTTTGCTATTGGGTATACGCGCTTACCAGAGAGAGGCAGAGAGAGAGCGAGAAAGCGCCCCCACGAGGAGGGACACCCCACAGTCCCTTTCCCTCCACTCCTCTCTCAGGATTTTGGGCACGCACGCTCATGTGCCCAGCATGGTTTTCAAGCCACAGGGTCCAGGACTCACATGCTGCCAGCCACGTGGGAGCTAGCTCTCATACACCAGGCCACCTGGCTGGTCCTCATTCTTGCCTTTTGAAATGACCTTTACCTTCTTGTGGGATGGCACGTACTTACTGCAGATATCAGAAACACTCCTCGGTGGTAAAAGGAGAAGAAATGCCCCTGTTTAGAGACAGCCACTGTTTAGGAAACCCTCGTAAACCCCTGCCGTGGCTAAGGTGACAGATGGGCTCCGAGTATCTGTGATGTGCCTTGCTCCGTGTTTGAACACTTATTATCATGGACTGCTTGAACCAGCAACTCCAAAGAAATGGAAATGGGATTTCTCTTTTAAAAACATTTATTTGTCATGATTTTCAAGTCGCCAGGTCTGGAATTTCTTGGGTGGGTCAGGGCTCTGGTACCGAAAATAGCAGCGGGAGGCAGGCCAGGTGGAGAGGCGGGGAGCA